ACACGTTTCTGGCTTAGCCTGCCCTTCGTCATGTTGATTATTGTTGTGGCGATCGCCACCTGACTGATAAACAAGTACGTTTTTTAGCTTTTCATTCTTATCATTAGTAACTCCTAAAGTTTGGAAAACACGATATGGTTGTTCCGTTTTCAAATGTCTCGATTCTGAGTATTTTCGATTATTTTAGTGACATTTAATGTGGGTGGCAAGCGAAACCGCCTCGAAAAATTATATGTTTTAATTCGAACGCATGAATTTAGAACAAGAGTAAACTATAGTTAAAAACTGCTTATAGTAAAATTTACATTCACGCAGAGCAAATGTTCTTTCTAATCAATCTCTCGCGTCAGTTATACCTTGACCGAAGCCCATCACCTATTTTTGACAGTAACAAAATTAAACTTCATATTTTGTCACCCTCGGACAAGAATCATCAAGTTACTCTTTTCACATTCTGTTTCAAACTTGCCCGAGCTGGCTATCATCCATATTTGCAACCTCGTACCAGAGTCTTTTCCCTAAGATAAAAGTCCTGGAAACCTGTATTTCGCCATAATTGTTATTTAATACAAACTGAAGATCGCAGAGTTAGCATACATTAATGTACTCATTCTTAATCAAGATTATTCTTGTTTCGAGGTGCAGCTAGTTCGCGGAGTTTGCGAAAAACGGAATGATTTGGCTAAAACAAGAGCCTTTGAGTTCATACTTCAAGTGCTAAAAGGTTTACTGCAAACTCGAGTTTGTTCTCAGCCGGTCTTTTCAGTCTTCCTTAACAAAGACTGTCCACGGAGGTGTTCTTTTTTATCTAGGTATCGTGAATGCACGCTGCTTGAATGGAGCGTTCCAAATGTACCCTCTCACGTGACCATATATGGGACCTGAGAGCGCGAATGAAAAATCGATGCTGATTATTTTCACTTTTTTTGTTATTAACGTTTTTTTTTTTAGATTACCAAGGTTTAAACTTCCTGATTTTGCCTTATTATTTCCTTGATAGTAAAAATATACAAGCTAAGAGGAATTTTTTCTGTATTTGCTAATTTGAAGACAAGGGATTTTATTCATCTAATTATGGTAACAAAGAAATTTATTTCAGATGTTTACGCTTGTTCTCCACAGTGGTTTAATTTCCGTCGTGACAATCGAAAAATTAAGTTTGGAAAATAAAATCGTCGTTTTTCCAATTGACATCGTCTTCATCAAATAACTGAAACCCACATTTCTATTTGGGTGACGAGAGACATGTTAGGAAAGGATAAAAATAGTCCATTGGTAATTTGAGATAACTTGTCCAATTTGTTTCGAAATTACGGGAATGCAGGTAAATCCTTAATGAAACAAAAGCTTGTTGACGATTGTGAGTTACGTGGCTCAATCCAGATTAAATCCTGCCAAAAAAGAATCTTCAGCGTACCGAAGGATTAGTTTTGGATATTAAAACTGGTTATGTGCACATTTTTAAGTTACTCGGCTTTAATTTGTAGTGCTAAAGTCATTTTCTAGCAGCTTTGTGTTCACTGCTTACCTTTTGTCCCAAACTGAACAGGGTACTACGGTATTAAGACCGCGATTCTTTTCAATGAGTCTTTCGTACAGAATGGTGCTCTTAAAAACGAGAACTCTTTGCATGGAAGTAAAACACTTGGTCTTGATAAATATTTAAGATATATAAGACACTTTCCGTGTCTCTATCGAGTGCGCTTTCAGTCAAAAAGATGCTCTCGTTTATCTTGCGTAAACAACGAGAAGAGGTTTGGGAGAACGCCGGAGAAATGATATAACAACCGGAGGCAAATTATTTAGTTAGAGTCGTGTATTACTCAGGATCAACGATGCTGTTCAGTCCGCGGTAAAGAGGGGTTCTATATATAAACAGTGTTTTCCTTGCACCCGGGTCCTTGCATAGAGAGAAGAACTCATGTCACCGTAATTAACGCCTCTGTACTGTATTTCTCGACTTCGAAAGTAAGAGAACAATTAGTTTTTATTTTCTAACTTTCAACTGCTGTTCTCAATGTATTTAGATACGGTCACTCAAGCTTTCTCGAGATCTAGGGCAACTCTGATTCTCGGCTAAACTATACGCTTTCTACTTTAAATTTAATACATACTTTTCCCAGTTTGTGTTCAGTCTAATTGCACAACAACATAGTTACTTAAGTTAAACACAATATTGGCCACAGGATTTAAGCAAAAGCTAATATCATGGTTCTATTGTAGAAATTTAAAGTTTCTTTGAATCTTGAAAAAATCAAAACCACATACCAGAACCGGTGGCGTCATATGTATCGTTAACTTCAATACAGGCTTCTAGTAACGCTCTTTTGGTGTCGAGTTGCTAGCCTCGCGTGCTGAGTGTTGGAGCCTTCTTCAATTGAACAATAAAGTTTTTGGGCGAGGAAAACTGTAGCAGCTATGTATGGCTTAAATGAACCATTTTATCCCCCAAAAAGGAAATTAGCTCTTAAAAGCAGCTGGTAAACACGCCATCTCCTATGATCATTACGTTCTTGAAATGATAGTCAAATGCGTTGATTTGTTGAAAAATTGGCATTTTTAATTGTTTCAAAGAGTGCCAAAGAGGTGACGATTGCTTCCGAAAACTAACAAGTCAATTTAATTCAATGACGGAGGCCTGCATCGTTCTACTTCTGCTTTTAAATGTTCAAACAAACGCTCAAATTTGCACAGAAAGACGTCTGATATTTACAATTAGTTTAGCTGGAAAGAATCAACCATCTCTTGGAAGTATACTAGCCTCGATAAATGATAATTAAATGAGAAAGGTTGCCCTTGTATTTAGATACCTTTGTTTAGATAATAGTAATTCACTATCCTTCCGCTTGAGTTATCTATACCCAATTAGTGTTAAAATCTGCCTTATGGTGTAAATTACTTATGAAGGTTAAAACCCTCGTTAGATTGTAGTTTTTGTTCTAATAATAAACGTTTTTGTTGTTTTATGCCGGCAAGAGAAAAGACTTATGCCCTTTGAGATTATCGAGCTAGAACTCAAAGTGAACGAAATTGACGTTTTTAAGTCAATTAGCGCAAAAAAAAAATAAAAAAAAAATAAAAAAACTGAACGCGTGTGAATCTAATAAAGTTAATCGTAAACAAACTGTGTTTCGTGAAAACATACCTTACCTTGTTTATATCTGGGAATTTTACAGCGTGGACATTTATGTCTACAAGTTAAAAAAACTCTTTTTTGTCTCGTTGTATGTAACACTCATTTAAATGTTGGATCTCGTTTTTTTGTCACGTTGTGGCCGTCAATTACGCTATACATGACAAAGAAAACGTATGTAATAGGTATGGCAATACAAAACCACTTTAACCTGTAATAATGATTTATTAGCCCCATTCATGACACTATAAAAGAACTTGATTGCTTTCCTCTTTGCGGGTTTCATCGCTTTGACTGTATAGGGTAAAAGTTAAACCTTAAATTGACTCACTTTGTAATGTGCTTGTACTTAAAAGAGTTTCTGGAAAAAGTATCTTTACTTCCATGGTAACGCGATATCGGCGTAGTAATTGTAAATTTTGAATCGTTGTTAAGGAAAAAAGATAGACGATATTTTCTCTTCGAAAACTGATCGTTTTAAAACTGAAGAACTACGAAAACCAAATCTCGAATGCAATGGTTACGAAGAAAATAAATTCAATTAATAAAGGTAATGAATCTTGAAGCACCCAAGAGCTTGCATTACGAATTCCCTCTTGACGGAACACCAAATGATACCGCGTTTTTACAGACTGTTTTGAAACTGCTCTCGGTATGCTGAAAGCCCCTCCCTTTCAGCACCGTTTTGTGGAATGAAACCGCATTAAACGTACGAAAGGTTCTTGACAGGTCAAATCTTTTAGTATACCTTCATATTTGCTTGTCACAATTCAATTCTTTCTTTGCAGCTTCGTAATCATTTCCACCATTTAACTGTGTTAAGAAATCGTAACTTAAAAAGAATGAGCACTAATATTCGATATTGCACCACCAATAAAACAGCAAATAGAATACGATTAAGGGGCATACCTCAGCGAAAATTAGAACAAGGCTTTCTCCAGTTTCTTTCTTTCGCCTTCTTTATGTTCTCGCGAGCGGAGTGTTTAGGGAGTGCCGTTCTAATTCACAAGAAGAAAATCATTATTAACATGTTTCAAGTGTTAATTGATAGTCGACTGACATGCATTTTATCTGTTCCTTTGTTCAAACTTCCATAGTGACGGTAGTAAAGATTTATTGACATAAAACCCCACTCAGTATTACTTACTCTGTACACCTAGTTACGAGAATTTCGTTTTCTTAGAAGACAAAAGTCAAAAGAAAAGAAAAACAATAAGCCTGGTGCCACTCCAAAGAAAGGAGGTGCCTTCACTCCGCTGAACGGATCTACGAGTTATTCGATCAAGCTAACCTAGGCTTGACCATTCCTGAGTGTTACTAAGATAAACAGACGAAACTAATATTCAATTTGATTCCAAACTACTAGGAGATGCAGGGCATTGGCGAATTAATGTTCGTGTGTTGGAGCTTAAGCTAGCCCATTTATCCTCATGTATTATTCTTAGACGATAGTTTCTAGATCTGTCCTCCTCAACCCCTCGTTATGCTACAGTTGAGGTTAAAAACATAAACATAAAAATTGCACAGCAGTTCATGGTTCTTGTCTGTTCTTTCTTGTGAGGACCATTGACCTAGCCGAAGGACTTTTCTGAAAGTCTAAATACTAAAAAGCATTTTCATTTGCAAGAATAAATAGTCTATTCAAAGCCGGGTTTTTCCCTTTTCTTTTTCTTTTCAGCCTCTCTTTGTTTAGATTTGCGCGGGAGAGACCGCGCGCTTGTTGCACAGAGACCAGCCATTTTTGAAAAGTGGAGAAGACCCTGGGGACGAGGTTGGTTAGCTTAAATCTATCGGTCTCATTGATTGGTCTTAACAAACAGCTAGGCATGGGATGTATCGTAATCTCTGATTGGATAATATGTGACGTTACTAACACGTGCATCCGCCATCTTAAATTTTGCTATAAACTGGCTCATAGTTTTACAGTAATTTGACTTGTCGGAGCGTTGAAAAAATGTCAGGAACACCTCTTATTGTGCTAAGTAAGTATACTTGTCCCATTCTGATTTTATCTGAATATTTTATACTAAGTCTTGACGGTTTCTTCAGATCAAAACACAAGACGAGAGTCTGGTCGCAAAGTACAACTTGGAAATGTAGAAGCAGCTAAGGTCAGTATGAAACTTAAGCTTAGGGTTATTAAAAAGAGAAAATATCTCAAGAATCGTGTCATTCCCAGCTTATGCCCTGCACATCTTTATTCTGCATACAATGCTCGCACAGTGCTCTATATAAGCTTAATGTGAACTTAACATTGTTACATGACATGTACACATTTCCCAGTTTATCAAAGCAATTTGTTCTGGGTGTTTCCGTAAGACAGAATGGCAGATTTGCATGTCTACCTCACTAGATCATCTAGTAAGCCTCTGACAACTTTCAGTTACTAACATTGTTTTTGTCTTGCAGACTATAGCGGACATAATTCGAACATGTTTAGGACCGAAGGCTATGTTAAAGGTGAGTCTTGCCCACTCTCTTCTGTCATATTTAATCACTATTTCAAAGTCAGCTCTCATTGTCTTCAGTAATATCCAATGACTTCGTCTGATCTCACCTACATGTACATTCTTTCTTGTGTACATGCTTCACCATTGACTCAAAACATTCCTAAAACTGTAGAGATCTGGGCAGAATATTTTTTTGGATATAGCCAGATACAAAGAGGGTCAAAACTTGTTGTGTTACTCATTGTTTGGTTGGACTTGTACATCTAGACAGTACATTTTGATTGGTATTTGACACTGATTGATTGACATTTAGCATACCATTTTTGTGTATAGGACACTTCTCTTTTGTTTTTGTAAATCAAAAGGTGTCTAAAATGTAAAATGCATGGTTAAGGTATTTATTTGAAGTAAAAACGAAATCCTGGGTATTTTGTTTGACCTTGGCTGGGATTTCATATACAAAGTTTGGTCATTTATTCTCTGGTTGGCAGCATTAAGTCAGGGTATGTATAAGGATGAAATATTTTTTGTTTTCAAATTAGAAATCTGAACTATTATAGTTGCATTATTGAGATCATAAAATATGTGAAGGGAATTGTTAGAAATCATGTGTCTTATATAAATAAAATATCTTCAATCAGATGCTAATGGACCCAATGGGAGGAATTGTTATGACAAATGATGGAAATGCAATACTTCGTGAGGTAAGAATCACTCCTTTTTTCTTGTAAATTTAACCCATTGGCTTATGTCCCAACAGTAACCATCCATTGCCAGCATTGGCCTTTGTTCCACATCTGATAAGGTCACCTTTGACTAAACTTGGCACCACTTGTACTCAAGTTCTGCAGTAAGAAGATCTTTGCAATGATACCCAGATCAAAGTGATTAGGTTAATATTGAGCTCATGCGGATGGGTGGACACCCATCTGGCTAAAAGCTTGAATACAATATTGGGGTAACAAGGTTTGGCAACTGACCAACATTTTAGTTTAGGATAAACCAAATTTGAGCTCAGTACCTGTTTTTGAGAGTTCTCCACAGGAGATTCTACATAGTGTTTTTATTCCTACAGGTACAAATTTATATGCTTTTATATTATTTAATGATTGCTATATTTCTTGTACATGAACTTTTAGATTCAAGTGCAGCACCCAGCTGCCAAATCAATGATTGAGATCAGCAGAACTCAAGATGAAGAAGTCGGTGATGGCACTACCTCTGTCATTATTCTTGGTAATGGTATTTACTGTCTGCAGCTTTAAGTCCAATTCAAATATAGGAAGTACCTTGTTTAACTTTATATATTTTGCCATTGTAAATACCGCTACAACTCTCAAGAAGCTCCTCAGTTAGACATACTATTGAGAATTGCCATGTAACAATTAAGGTAGATTTTCTGCAGCAGTAGGTCAAAGTATACTTCCAGGAATCCAATCAGGTATTGCATTATATTCCTCTTGGAAGGAATTTACAAGTGTTACTTGTTTGCTTTTACTGAAGAACTGAGACAAAAAGTATACAGTGTAAAGTTATGTATTTATGCTTTGTTACCAACATATGGATACATAGAGGATATTACACGGTGGCGAGAAGATATGAATTTTATGTTCGAGTGGCAAGAACTATATCTCACAAGTTTGCTGCACTCACTTGTGAGATATTGTTTTTGCCATGAGAACATAAAATTCATATCTTCAAGCTAACGTGTAATGTCCTTTTTATTATATAGACATGCTGATGACGCTGTTTTTGACAATTTTCCAAAGATTTGCGACCACTTTCCGAACATTTCCGAAGATTTTCCAAAATTGTTCCAAAGGCCAGACGAACGTTTCCAAGAATTTTCCAAACATTTCCGAATGTTTTCCGAAGATTACCGAAGATCGCTGAAGATGGCCAAAGAAGATCCGAAGATGTTTCGATCATACACCAACAAATTTAAGCAGTGTTTCAGCCAGAAAATTTATCTTGAGGGCCAAAGTGGCCCCTGAAGACCATTTTTAGGGGCCAATTTTTTAGGAAAGGTGCCAATAAATTGAAAGCTACAGAAGGAAAAATGCGTCAGGGTACCAAGGAAAATAAAGCAGTTTATTAAGATCTAGAATAAAATTTAATAGTAAGTGCTTTTTGAAGTGTTTCTACTCAATAAATTTCTTTTGAATCAGATACTAGTATGATCCGTCCTTAGGCATACATGACATAGTCAATGATCAAGGGTTTGCAATGCATTGTAGGGCAATTTCAAACTTGAAAGTTTTCCACTGTGAGATAGTCAATACAGCAGAGCAAAAGGATGGATTGACTTCTTTTCTTATGTTGAATGTTTTAGAAGCAAAGATCTTTCAATATGATTGTCTAGAAGGACATAATGTGTGACAAAATAACTGGATTGATCGTCAATACAGAGAAATGTAGTTGCCATTATGGTGACTAAACCAGAATTTTTGCCGAATTTTGGTCACCAAGGATGAAATGTTAGTTACATTGGTGACTGTATTGGTCGCAATTTCGAGCCCTGGGATGGCTTTTAAAATACTATGCCTGTGTTAAGTTTTTATCAATTTGTTACTGCTCAGTAGACCACTGACTTTTATGTAATAAAGTATATTATTTTGCATGGCTGCACAACTTACTGATTGTGTGGTGATGCTGCAGCTGGTGAAATGATGTCAGTTGCTGAACAGTTCCTTGATGATCAGATGCATCCTACAGTTATTATTGGAGCTTACAGACAAGCCATGGATGACATGTTGGAAATCCTCAGAGATCAAATCAGTGTTCCAGTTGATGTTGACAACAGAGAGGAAATGTTGAAGATTGTCAGGAGCTCTGTTGGGACAAAATTTGTGCATCATTGGTTAGTTATTTTTGTTGTTGTTTTTCATTTTTTATGGCCATAAATGTTTGTACTACAGCCTCTCCAACCTCGTTCCCAGGGTCTCTCCTCTTCCCTGCCCCCAGAAGTGCTCCAGGGAGCGGGAAAGAAGAAAAACCCTGTAGGGAACTTTCAAGCTTTAGGGTAATTTTATATGCTGATTTTTACACTTTTTGTGTAAGAAGAATTGATAAAATCCAGATGCTTGTTTGGTTGGATGGGGAAGTAATGCAAAATCTGCTCTACCCAATGGCATTCTACATGTATTTGGCAGAGTTAAGCATCTTTCCTTTTTACATAAAATGCAGTATTAAGTTAAAATATTTGTCAAATTAAAAAAAAAGTAAATGTTATTTATAGTGGACATGTACTTGGCTATACAAGCACTAATCTTAGCTAGTTTATAGGTATGCCACTGAAAGAAAGGAAACAAATATTTCAAATAAATGTAACATAGTTAAAAATCCCAAATGGCAGGAGGCCAACCAGTTGGCTACATGTAGTTACAAAGCATGGCTGAGGATTTGAACCTGGGACTACTGGGAAACAAATCCCAGTAGTGGCAGGGTGGAGTCCTTGAACCTGGGACCTGCGGATTACAACACCAGCACCCTAAACCACTCAGTCACGCTGCCTCCACTAGAACTTCAATGTGCTAATAATTATTGAACACTTTCTCTTTTTTTTAGGGGAGACTTGGCTTGTAACATAGCTTTAGATGCTGTACGTACTGTTGTAAGAGATCAAGGCGACAGAAAAGAGATTGACATTAAAAATTATGCTAAAGTAGAAAAGGTATCATATTATTTGACACATTTTTATGGATTTTGTCTGGTTTCATTCACAATGATATGGTAGCTTTGCCATTCTATTAAAATTTACTTGGTTGGCTGTGTATACCGGTAAATGTACACGTAAATTTAGGACAATCTATTTTTTTGTAGGGCAGTTGTTTACTGAAATCACTGAAATAGAGGCTTTGTGGGTATATTGGTCATCATGATAAAACTGTTACATGTATTTTATGATGTTCCCAGTGCAGAAGTGGCAATTTTCAAATGATAACATGAATACTTGCGAACAACAGTAAAATTCAAGCAAATGTCTGCTTCTGTTTTTAAAATCGGCAGTTTTGCGGAACATTTAGTGACAAAGTTGTAGTCTGTAGATATATACTGATACTGACATATACTGATACATACTTTACACATACATGTCTGAAGTCTGAAGACTATTTTATAACGTGTGCTGTTGTAGGTTCCTGGAGGTGAACTTGAAGAGTCGCGTGTTTTATCTGGTGTTATGGTTAACAAAGATGTCACTCATTCCAGGATGAGAAGGTATGGCTCTTTTCTGACACTTACATGTATGTTAGCTTGAAATAATCAGGTCAGCTAATTGCTTACTCACATGCAGTATATAATATTACATATTACATACATGTAGGATTGTCACAGGAAGTGTGTCGATCTGTAATCTGGTTTGCATTTGTAGGAGAATAGAAAACCCCAGGATAGTTCTTCTGGATTGTTCTCTGGAGTACAAGAAAGGAGAGAGTCAGGTACAGTGCCCTAGTCTGGAGTAGCATTTGTGTTCATGTGAAATGTTGGTTCTGCATGGTTTCAGTGCAATATCTCAGGTTAAACAGCCTGCTCCCTCCTGACATGGTAACTGCTGGGTTTTTGTTATTAACTTTAAATAGATTTTCCAATAATCATTTTGCAGTATGAGGAGTCTGAAATCATAAATTAGCTTACTTGTACATAATGTGTAATCAATACATGTTAATTCTCAGAACTAATGTTAATGAAATGTATAACAAGCATTAAAGGGACACTGTCACCATTTTTAGCATGATTTTGGAAATCTCAAAAACATATCTCAATCATTGGAAGTTGAACAATAATGGTTTTATTTTGTAGAGCAGTACTCAACAAATGATTGAAACTCATTAGGAAGTGAGGATGGCTAACAATGGCGAGGATGGAAACGGATTGTGATATGGATTTTTAGAAAAGTGACAGATTGTCAGGTTTTTTTTACGGTTCAAGTTTGGCTTGAAAATTGTTGAAATTTAGCAAAAATGTTGCTGCAGTGTGGACTTTCTACAAGAAATTGCTTTTAATCATTTAGTTAGAGCTAATTGGAAAGCTCTTATTACATAAATTTAGGGACCATTTTGCAAATTTCTAACAGTTTTAAGCAAATATATCGTGACAGTGCCCCTTTAAAGAGAATTAATATTTTCAGCTTAAACTAAAGGGAATAAGCACTTGATATTTTGACTATTAGTTCTTTTCATAGTACAGTGTTGTCATATTTTAGATGTTGTCAGCGTCATTAATTAAGGGTGCTTTAAAAAATTGCAGTATTCAGTACAACAGTTATTTGTCATTTGATTTCTTACAATGTAATTCATTTCTTTCTCAGACCAGCTTAGAAATTACCCAAGAAGCAGACTTCAGGTAAGTTGACTCTGTCTAACATCCAGTTTATCAATTTCGTTTTCACCCTCTAAGACCTTTCTAACCATGTAATTTATCAATCTTTTTTCCTGTTGTTGTTTAAACGGAAAAAATGGGAGACAGTTGCACTTTAAATAGTGTCAGTGTTTAACTGTATGCGAGGTTCTGACTCTGAAGCAAACCAGATTCCCTAGGATAATGAACATATTTTTTAAAAAGGACATTTCCACCTTTTTTCCACAAAACACTTTGTCAACCTTCATCATAATTTTGTTTTTCTTTTTCAGTCGTATTCTTCAGCTAGAAGAGGAATTTATTCAAAGAGTCTGTAGTGACATTATAGCTTTAAAGCCTGATGTTGTGTTCACAGAAAAGGGAGTATCAGGTGAAACAGTTGTTGATATTATATGTAAAGTAAGCATTTTTTTTTCTTTTGAATGTATGGTGTACATTATGTTGTTGAGATGGTGTCAGTGGACACGCACGTTCTATGCAATGGTCTTTGAATTTCTTACAAAATGTATAATTATAGTACTATGGACGATAATCTAAACGATTATCAGCTATTGCTTGAGGGACCAAGTTCTTTAAACCTCTCACCACTTGCATTAAAACAATGCACCACATTTGACACTAGAACTGTCCCCTCTACCCTTATCTTTAAGAAAATGAAAACATGTTCCATATTGCTCTCGAGCTATAGAAACACAAGTGGAAGTTTGGCAGAAGGAGAAATGCTGTGGGAACGCAAGCCAACAGGGGAGTGTTTCCACAATTTTCTTGAGTTCTCCCAAATTAAACTTCCACAAGTGTTTTTGACATGAAAGAAACACAGAGAACATGTTTTATATTTCTTTTAGAACGTTCCGCAATAAAAAAAGAAAACAACTTTTCTCTTTGATCCTCATTCTCTTTGCTTGTGCTAACATTGGGTCAACAGTTTGTGCTAGCACTGTAAGTTTTTAAGTTATAGAAACACAATTTTAAACCAGTCAGTGCATACATGTATTTTCTTTGGGCTATTTTCTTAACTGCAGTGTTGTCTGCCAAGATAGAACCTAAAGCTACCCTATTTCATGGGCCATTTCTCAGTTGCCTCCGTATTAAAACTAGTCTGTGTGAAACAGTTCTTATCACTTTTATTTCATGCGAATCAGACTCATTTCATATCAAAAGTTTTGCACAAGGACTAATTTTGGAACAGAGGCCAAGGCAACTCAGAAATGGCCACCACAGAGATTGTTATTACTTTGGTAACAGTATTGTTACTTTAATGTTCCAGACCTTGCACAGCATTTCCTGGTAAAGAATGGAATCACAGCGATACGCCGTATCAGGAAAACTGACAACAATCGTATTGCTCGTGCATGTGGTGCAACCATCGTTAACAGAACAGAAGAACTGAAAGAAGAAGATGTTGGCACTGGGGCTGGATTATTTGAAATTAGTAAATTTGGAGATGAGTAAGTTTGGTACAAATCATGAATTATTGCTTTTTAAATTAAACTGCATGTACCTTATCATAATAAGCTTGCAAATAGTTTATATTTTGTCGGTTATACTGTACATGTATTGCTGCTCAGATGTAGCAAAGATTAGGTTGTAACCATGCAAAATGTAGACAAGCTGTCACAGTCAAACAAATGACACAAGTCACTCAGATAAATGCAATACATGAAGCTAGTTCATGAAGCCTTGTAACATGGGAGTTGTTTGTTGAAAGGTACTTCTGTTTTGTGACTGAATGCAAGAATCCCAAGGCATGTACAATCTTACTACGTGGACCAAGTAAAGACATCTTAAATGAGGTATTTTCAATTTCCTATCAAGAGCATTAATTTTCGAGAATGAACAAATCAGCAAACAAACAAACTCTATGAAAGCTTCATTATTTTACCTTAGTATATCCATACATCTTAAAGTACAGTGTGATGTAATAAAATTCTATTAAACATGAAAGACCGTGTTTGACCACATTTCCAAACACAGAGAAGAGTCTGAATTGACAATACGACACGCAACAGAGTATTTTTGACAAACTGCGAGGTGTTTGGAAATGTGTTCAAACACGGTCTCGAGTACTTGATTTTTCTTCTTGATCAAAACTACAGTAAAACTAAGGAGAAAACAGAGAAATAAAGTAATAAAAGTCTATGCTAATTAAGATCAGATATCCAAACACAGTCATGGTCATGATTTCTTTCGTCTAAACTTGATGAATTCTTAATGAGTTGGAGAAGAGTTTATTAGCTATTTATTTCACATTTCTTTGTTTGCAAAAAATTGACTGTGAGATGTCTTATAGATTTTTATTTTACCTTTCATGAATGCTTAATCAAAGCCAATTTCTAATTCCTGAAATTGTGAGTTGGGCTCATACAACCTGTAGATTTTGAGAAAAACTTCATTACCAGTAAACCTTCTTACTTCTAGTGCCCAGTCTATCCCTAGGCACATGGTCTCTCATTTGGTCTATTTATTGAAGTTTAAATTGTTCAAGTATCAAATGTAATGGTAAGAGAGCAGTAATTAGAGACAGGAAAAAATTTAATATCTTGGAACATGTTTCAAAAGAGTTAAAAGTAGGGCTCTTAAACTCCATCAAACAGCAGGAGAATAGATTTATACTAATTTCTAGATCAGAGCTCTTATCCTCATTAATTTGTTTGTAGTTTGCCTCTATCTTTGTAAAAAAAAAAAAATTAGCACTCGTTTCCTTGTTACCTGAGGGATTCCCTTCCTTATGCCTTCCCTTATCTTTCCAACAGTCATAAATTAAATTTCTCTGCAATCAGAATTATAATGATGTTTGTTTTGTTTAGGTTGAACGCAACCTTCATGATGCTATGAATGTGGCACGGAATGTGATGTTAGATCCCAGGCTTGTACCAGGGGGTGGTGCAGCGGAGATGGCTCTTGCTCATGTGAGTACTTTTCCTGATGAAAAACTGCTGTCGCTGAAATCATGTGACAGGGACATCGCTCTTTTTTTTTTTCTTTTCAACCTGCAATATACATGTGGGAGTGTACAGTGTAGCCCCATATTACCCATTGCCAAGGTGGCAGTACCCAGTAAGAATTAAGCTGCATTGAAAAGGCTCTAATAAAGCTTGACCAAATATGTTAGGAGCATGCAATGTTGTCAATCTTTGGCTTGATTCTCAATGGTTTCCTTGCCTACTGTAGTTATGCCTTTTTTCCTCAATAAACTCATGTCACAATGAGTTACACTGTTTTGTTGGTGCAACAAGGGTTGGTAAGAAATGTGTCATTGTCCCCTTAATGACATATGCTAGTAAAATGGTTTTGTGTAAAATAAAGCTCCCTATCTTTATTGTTAGACAAAAGGATTTATGTTTAAGTCTGTCAGTATTCCTGCTTGTTTTGTTTTTTTTTTTTAAGTTGTGATGTTGTCATATTGCAGGTGCTAACAGAGAAAGCCAAGTCGGTGGCAGGTGTTCAACAGTGGCCTTACAAAGCGGTTGCCAAGGCACTGGAAGTGATCCCACGTACTCTGATTCAGAACTGTGGAGCTAACACCATCAGGACTCTTACTGCCCTAAGAGTAAGCATACATGTTCAGTTACAAGCTCGGCAGGATTCCTGTTAGAGTTTTCATCAACGGATGTCACGCAAAACTCTTAAGAATTCTCTTTTTATCTTCTACTTGTGGAAAACTGCTGAATTTTTCATAGTTGTATCAAAAAGGAAATAAAATATTGCTGTCTAAACTTTTCCCACAAACGCTTTAAAAAGTCAGTTTCTCAAAAAGGAGAATTCGTTTATCATTTACATCAAGAAATTTCTCAATCCTGGAAATGTTATCTTTATGCCCTCGGAAAATTCCTGAAATTCCGTCACCTCTGACTAGTACAACCGCTGACAGGTAGCAAGGAAGACGGGCAAATCGTGCTCGGTGGGTTAGGAAAAGGAAAGAAGTCTACAACTTGATCAACTACGTGTACGTGTAAAATCACTTCTATGAATACGAAATACTGTTACACTTTTCATGGGGCTGCCGGTATAACACTTGCTGATTGTTTGCGACATGATTAACAGGCAAAACATGCTGTAGAAGGTAACACAACCTGGGGCGTTAATGGCGAGACTGGTGAGATTACAGACATGAATGAACTGGGTGTGTGGGACACTTACTCGGTTAAAGCACAGACTCTCAAGACTGCTATTGAGGTAGTTATTAACTTATGTCATCTCTAGACATCCACAAACTAAATAAGGCAACTTAGTATTATTCTGACGAAGCTGGAAAATCAGATTTTTCTTGGGCGTTTCAAACGTTGTTCGGATACTGTATGTTGCTAAGCAGCAGTGCTTTCATCGAACACCGCGGGCTCACTCAATCTGATCGAAAAATGATCTGTCCCTCCAGCTGGACAAATATGATGGAAATCGCTCTGGGTAAATTGTAACCAAGTTCTCCTATTCTATACGACGAGGAAAGACGATAGAATTCGATATTGTGGTAAAATGAAGGGATTGTTACGAGACTAGCCTACGTGGCAGACATCAACTAGTGCCTTTGTTTCACGCGGCAGAGTCAATTAACAAAGGCAAAGACCTTTACACGCAGGCTATTACGAGACCAAATAGTAATTGAACTCTAAAGAATACCAGGATAAATTTCCAACACTTATTCAATAGAACATTAATTTAGCCATGCCTCTTGACCTCACTGACAAGTAAGATGTCTTTTCTGTTTTCCCCATGAATTGACTTTAAACGAAAACGACCATTAGCCAGATTTTGTACATGTATTGGCCACACTGAATTAACAGTTGTTTGATGTTGTTTGTCTAGACGGCCATGCTTTTGCTGCGTATTGATGATATCGTTTCTGGGACGAAAAAGGCGAGCGGAAAAGAAGGCTCACAGTCAGGAGCTGCTCCTACTACAACTCCTGAGGATTGATCGCCAGTCCCACACAACAAACAAATTACACGAGTTATGGGCCACTGAAGATGCATAGCTCGCCACTGATTTATGGGGCGCTTTCACGACGACTTCCGTTCCAGGATTGGGAAACGGGCTTTGAAACTTTGGGCTATGCTTTGCACGTGCGTGCGGAATGAACTTTTTTTGGATCTTGATATTGGTGTTCAAGAACAGAACAGTGTAATCAATATTGAAACCTTGAGTTCAGAATTATGTCTACCAACAAGTTAAAGACCTACAGAGGACAGGACAGAAGACAGAGAACAGTTACCGCTTGAATTCACGACCAACGTCAGTCATATATAAACGCAACGTAAAAGCCGATTCCTGGTTTAGTTTGTATCATCGAATTATGATGCTCGTGGAAAGTTTGAAAAGCACGAGAGAAGCGTAAGAGTGCTCGAGGTGCATCTGAGGACAATTCTAGCTTCTTGAGTGTTCCCCAAACTTTCCGCGTGCATCATAACTCGATGATATTCAACTAAAAGCATGAATCAATTATTTTATAACACCGCCAATGGAAATAACTTTCTCTGGCGACGCGAAGTCAACTTTGTCCACGCCATGAGCGTTTATGATACAAGCTTGCGTATGCAAAGTTTGATAGCTCGGCTGTGCGAGCTGTTATAATGTGTAGTACGGTTCGTGATCTGTGTTTTCAGCTGATCCATGGTATCAAACCATGAAAGTTGTAATAGAGAAGTTTATCTCGCAGAGCGAGTATTTATTTATAGTTTGGACAGAAAGGCAGTCTATGAAGCAGCAAGAATTTCCGTTCCACTAGGAATTGATATCTTACTTAAGAGTCGAAGTGATCAAAGCAGGGTTTCCTCTTCCTGTTCCATGAAAGTGCAATTAAATTTCCGAAAGTTGTCGCGAAAGCCCCATAACCTCTATGCTAGAGTGAAGTGCATGAATCGTGAAAATTCCTCAAAAGTATTAATAAAGTGAACAATTAAGAAACATGCATTTTGAGTAATAACCTGCGTTGGCCTCACCAGCAAAAGCTCCTGCGACGATAATCATTAGGACTTTTTAAAATGTGGGATACGCTCCAATTATGTACCGAGAGGAATGGAACTTAGTACTATATGTGGTACGTCTCGATAACATTCATTGAGACCCCCTTTTTAGCTCGGAAAATGACGTTTGTCTTGTCCGAGTTACAAGTTTGAGGGTAGAATTCACTCTTCGCTCCTTTCTTCACTTTCATAAGTTAGAATCTTTTTACAATTAATATTTTCCAAGAGCTTACTGCAAACAGGCTAACCTAGCAGGGTTCGTACAGGTCATGGAAAACCTGGAAAGTCATGGAATTGGTATTTCAATTTCCAGGCCTGGAATGTCATGGAATTTAAGTGAAGGTCATGGAGAGTCATGGAAAAGCAATATGCTTGGCAAAAAGATATTTTAAAATTTGAAATAATAACAGACCAGTCAGAAACGGACTTTACTTTCAGTAGAAATAGACACGAGCACACATTTTATGCATTATGATGTTGGAAAATACGTTAAATAAATGATTTTGACATTACTGTGAGAACAACTGCTTAACTTTGGTCATGGAAAACTCGGAAGGGTCATGGAAGGTCATAGAATTTTAGAAGCTGCAAAGAGTACGAACCCTGCCTAGGCATTATTCAGGCTAACCTGAGCGTTATTGAGAGTCGCTGGAGCGACGAGTGCTATTCAGGCTTCTAGATTGCTATTTTGGCTAAGCAGTGTGCCAATCAGGATACCCTGAGTGCTGTTTAGGTTACCCAGAAGCTGATCGGAGGGCAATGAGCCAATCATTTAACTCATGGTATTTCTTCCCCCTTTCTGTTTCTCTTATAATTAGAGTTCACAAAATGAGATGAAACACTTGCAAGATAAAAAGTTTAATGAAAGAAAATCATTCTTTATTATAGCTAATAATATATCCTTAAAAAGAGAAAAATTGCCTGTAAAAGGCTCAAAACTGCCACTACAGTGTGTCACTATAGTGTCTGGAAACGAAATCAATAAAATCTCTTCATAGATCTATTCTCGTACCCTCTGTAAACTTCATAAAAATTGATAAACCTATTCAAGCCTAATCTTCAAACCAAGGAAGAACAAAAAGGAAATTTAGTTTTGCAGTTTTTTCAGTGTGCAGTGCGATGAAGTTAAAACTTAAAATTTAACCATATTTTTTCATGTACGGTCAATATCTACACAACTACACCCAATATAAATACTTCAAAGGCGGCGCATTCTAATTACTACCCTAAAACTTACAACGCGGAGGCTGCAAAGCTGCCATTTAACTTACATGTATCGTCGCTCGCCAAATATTCTAACCTTAATACGGATAATAAATACTGTACAATTTAATAAATAGGATTAAATTCGCAATATTCTATACTGCTAGTGTTCTCAGCGCCTATTCTCATGTTAATGGAAACAAAGATTTCCCACAAGATTTGTATTTTGATTGTCGTTTCCGTTCGGACTTATTGCAACGCAAGTAACAACTAAGAACCAAATTCGTCTTGACCGGACAACTGGTCCATTCCTCTGTCCGATACGTTGTTGCTTAATTGTTTCGCAGGATTTCCGCGTTTCAGGTCATTCCACTAACCATCGATTCTTTTCAACCTGAGGGACGGGTCCGTCTTGAGAACCTTTTGCTCTTTCTGTAGACAAGAGAAAAGGAAGCCTTAAAAATCCACGAAGCTAACAAACGGAATGAAATTTGTTACGTGCATAAACGATATTAGCTTGAAAGTGTGAAATATTTCTGAACTTTGTTGAATAAAGGCTTCTTTCTAGTGAGCTTACAAGTTTTCTATCTCTGATGTTATATTTTAACCTGATTGAACACGTTTGGTCAGTGTTAACAGTAAAGTAACGACATCTCGACAATGCTTCAGAGAAGCGCGGAGCCTGGAACAAAAAGAAAGAACGCCACTGAGTGTGCATATATTAAACTTACAATTTCCACATCTGAAGGAATACGCGATAGGAAGTCCGCAAGTTCGTTGTTGTCAACAGCATTTGGTTTACGGATCTTCTTTGTAAACTTGTTTATTCCTGTTGAGACGGCAAAGAAGTTGAATAAATTGGCGAAACTCAACTTAAACACAGATCCTAAACCTCTGGACTTAAAGAGCCAAAGCAAAGAGGTGCTGTAAAGTTAGTTTTAATGCAACGCATAAATATCGGCGCCTTTCGAATTCCTCGCTAAATATTATGTAATGGGTTTACTTCTATCAACGACTTTTAAGTTAAAAAAAGTAGAGATTATAGAGCAGGTGAAAAGCACTGAACGATTTGATCAAACATTTGATCTGTAGTGTCCTGGAGAATCCAACTTATCAGGAGAAAAACGCTTGATTTTTATAACAAATTCCCCACAGGGAAATTAAGTAAAAAGTATCAAAGGTTTAGGGAGAGTTTTTGACGAGATCTTACCCCAGGCAAGAAGTAAGAACTTGAGAGGTACAAGGTAAAGTACAACTGTTCCTAACGTGAAGATGACACACATCAAATACGAACAAAACGGTACGGTCCAGTTAAATGTGCTGCAAGGCAAACAAAACGTTTAATAACTCAGTTCACTTCAGGTAATTCTGTCCCGAACGAGCATAGAGTAAAACCTGGTAACAAAAAAAATAGTACAGAGCCATAAAGATATCCTGGTTATTAGAGCTAACTAATAAGCTTACATGCAAATGTTTGCCTTGGAATGTATACGATAGTATTTGAATCGTATTCTAGTGCGAGAGGCAGGCTTAAAAGTTAATGTCTATTCTCGAGAGTTTACAGGATAACATTACAGTTCCAAATTAGTGATATGGGAGCAAATTGTTTAATATCGTCATATCTAAGCGGTCACGCACGATGCTCAATGAGCAACCCTTCTTTAATTTCTTAGTCCACTGAGCGTGCACACAGAAAACGTGAGAGGAAAAAGGGCTGGGCGCAGGAGGGGAAGTAAAAGCGAAGGAAAAAGAGGTGCTGCCATTTGCCTAGCTCTCAAGGGTTTAAAACCACCTTGTCCTAAAACCTTAGCAGCATGTCATAGACATCACAACATGAAGGTTCTCATGTAAATAGTAACTTAAGATAGTTTTATCCTCAAAGCCACATTAATGGAACAAGAGCTGAAGAAGATATTTCCCTAATGTAAAATAAAAACATTGTGAAGGAGATGGTTGATTTAAAATGACAGGGTACTCGTGATTGTACTTACTTCTTAACTCGTTCTCCATTTGAGGCCACCATATCCAAGGCATTTTGTACTGTCTGACAGATGGATGTTAATGCAGCTATCTTCTCCTTAAAACTCTTTCCCTTGTCCTACAGAAAACGTCCCAAAATGAAAGAGTTTTTCAATGAGTGTCTCTTGGAAAAGTTACATATATACTCATTTTGTAATCTACTGACCCCTTTCTTTCCTTTCTCTTCCTCTTCATCATCATCGTCTTCATCTTCGTCCACTGGCGCACCTTCCTGTACCAAACAAGAATTAAACAACGAAATGTCACGTAACTAATTTAGACAAGGTAATTTAAGAAGGAGACTGAGCGTACCTGTTCTTCTGGATTCACGTTTCTCTCGGCAAGTAACATACACATGACGTATTGCTTGAGAAACGTGAGCAGAAGGGTCAGCGGTATGATGTAGAAGTCAAAGTTCAGACACAGCATGATGTAGATCTGAAAACCAACAGAGATGGATCATTAGAGTGCACGTACAAACAGCCTTCCACTCATGGATATCGCGTCTTCACGTTCGGCTCGGATTTCTATCAAAATCACTTAACCTTAGTAATATTCACAGTTTCGCGATGTTTGAAAGAGCTCGTTCCAGCCAAAACATTGTACACGTCTTGTGACAGTTCCCTTTCAACACATTGCACGTAATTGTCTTTAAACAACGTGCTGAAATTGCAGTCTGGGATAGACATCGCAAGTATACTACTATCGTTTAAACCGGTTAACACAACAAGAATGCGGGGTAGAATAAAACGCCATTCTAGATGATTGACCAATCTGAACAAACACGCTTTTCCTTCAATCAATCAGGTTGCAAAACCAAATTGTGGCTTATCTCGTTCCCGTTTTCCCGCGCTTGGCGCCCATTACGTTTCACAGCGTTGTTTATATTTCTTTGACTGGCCAGATGTGACTATCTGGTTTGGGTTTTGTAGCAGTCGGTAGTAGCAGGAGTTAGAATACTACTCATTTAGAAAGAGATCTGCAGACACTTACTGCAAAAGCGAAAGCGCTTCTAAACTTGTACTGCCAGGTAAACAGTGATTGGACGAACGCTCCAGTCGATACCAGGCTCGCAACGAGCTTGTTGACGCGGTCAATGTTACGCTGCAACAACTTCATATGAAAGTAAAACAAAAACACATCATTATCAGTATTTGAAAGGAGAAGCTACCCAGTAAAATCTCTCCTAAACGTAAAAAGCGGGTTTGAGGAATCAATTGTTATATGACCTCCTGGAATGTCCTTCTCACTAAGGCTAGTATTGCACGCATCTGTGCAGGTCCACATCAGGACTTAGCGTCTTGCCAATTTTGATCTCCAACCTGCTTTATCAAATAAATTATGTATGTATGTATGTATGTACGTTCCATTCCCGAAAGATCATGACGTCAGTGAGACGTATGACGTCACAGATTTACTTAGCAATCCTTACCGCTCTCTTAAACTTGGGCGCTTCAAACATGATCTTGGGATCCCTTGGGTTGACGGTCCTAACAGCGGCCCGTATGGGGTTGAATTCCACATCAAGGGTCAGAATAAGGTGCCCTTTGGCTCTGCTTTCCAGACTCTTGTTCTTTAACTGGTACAGACGCTTCTCACCCGAGGTGACCTGGGGAGGAATGATACTCTGTCGTAAGAAAGCAATCACATGATTTTAGAGAGTATCTTCGCCGCCCGTGATGTCAACGATGCAGTTAAACACGAACATTGTGAGAAGTGGCACTTCACTCTTCTGATAAGTCACCAAATCAAACCATACCAGCTAGCAGACAGTTGTAATAACTGTATTTCCATGGTTACCTGTAACAATGGAATCACCACTCGACCAAGAAACTCTGGTGCTCCTCTCTTATCCTCGTCAAACACAGTGATGTCAAGAACGTCGTGTATATCAAACACAGTCCTATAAAGAGGCAAAACAAAGGTGTGTATTATTTAAGCAATAGAGCACTTTTTCCGTGTTTACATAGCCTCATCTAAACACGAGGAGGGTTGGGAGAATTCGAGACAGTTATGCAAACCCTCAACTACGTCTCGGGTTTGCATAACTTACGAGAATTCTACCAGCCCCCAAGTGTTTAGATGAGGCTATGTAAACACGGAAAAAGTGCTCTATTGCTTTTATAAAATAATTCTCAAAAATACGCGCGAATCTGAAACGTCACAACCGTGTTGACATACTCTCATCTAAACACACCTATCGACCAATGAGAGCGCGCGTAGTAGCTCAGTTATTTTATAAAATTCTATCCATAGTTTTTATAGTACCATTAAGTTTGAATTTTCGTTTTCTCTTTTACGTACGTGGTTGCCAAGAGTTTATGACATGCCGTGAGAAAAGCGAAAAAAAACGACGTTTTTAAGAATTGGTCACTGCGATTAAGGAAAGGGCGCTGAGATTTTTCCACCGCAGAATTTCTCGTTCTTGTTTTATATTGCGTGATCAATGTAGTGTCACTTACATTTCATAGATCTTCTCCCAAGCAGGGTTAAGAGTCTTGTACATTGTGTGTGTTACTAGACGCTGATTATTTAACTCAATCACAGCAAACGGATCACTGGTTCCTCCAATGTCTGCTGATGCCAATCCGACAGCACGGTGAAGTTTCACCTGTTAGAATACACTTACATGAAGGACTAAACAGAGCACCTTTTAAAATTACAATTACAGTCACGGAACAAATCAGTGATTGGACCAAAGGAGGTCATCGCATCAATTACAGGACTCGCGAATAAAGCAAAATTATTAACAACACGTATTTTGTTTCGTGACAGTTTCGGGAAGGAAACCGGCGATGAATTTGTGAAATTTTAGTCCGAAAAACTAGCACATCGTGTATCTCCAGAACCACCTTTTTCCTCGCACGAAGGCCTCGTCAGCTAAGAGGAACAGGCGGTTCTAGGGAAGAGAGAGCTACATTAGTGTAGAGGATATAGAGAAAAGTGGAGAGTATGTAGAGCGGGGGTCTGGGGTCTAGGACGGTCGTGAAAATTCGGTTCCAGGTCTCGCCACAGATTACCGCGTATTTCAAATTCAAAATGGTGTCCACAAAACAGGTAAGATTATCTTTTATTCATCCTGTAATTTGATGCGACGCCCCTATGATTAGTCACGCAAGACTTAAATTTTTAACTTATTAGAACTGTAGGGCGTGACAATAATAGATCATATGATTTCTGAAGCAGCAAGTCAGGGTTTGGCCAATGTGGCTTACAGATGCTCTTTAGAAGTGCGCTTAATCAAGGTGTCATTTCCTAACAGTCATCCTTTTGTTATATGCAGTCACTGTAGAGCTGGGTGTTACTGCAAATATTAAACTGACTAACTGTTGACTGCTTTGTTTAGACCACAGACATTTGAAACTAAAATAATGTTCTGATCAGCTAGTGACTTACATGTAATAACCTTTATAAGCTTATATATTTGAATTCAAGCACAATAACATGCACAATGACTAGTCATGTACTTTGCATGTCTTAGATGATCTCACTATACCTGTAGCCATCCAATTTCTTTAATCTTCTTTGGTGTGGCCTTCAACGCATACTGTTTAGTGATCTCTGTTCTTCTTCCTGGTTTCTCTGTGTATGCATTTAAATCTGATTCACAGCCGGGTGCATCAAGTCCTGTGATTGACAGGTGCATGACAATGATGCCAGCATTGTCTTCAAGTGCTGCCTCGATCTTATGTGACTTTTCCCGCTCAAGTGTGGACAAGTCAATTTGACACCTGTCAATCAAACAAAAAAAGAATGTAAGTGCCACAAAGAAAAAACACTGTAAAAATGAACCAATCTATTTTGGAATAATGTAGCAGTACAAGTAAACCTACAACAACATGCTTATTCATTGCACATTTCAACCTCACCTGCCCATGAATTCATCTTTCCTGATGTCTCTGTCCCAGACTGTTACCTCCAGCATCATGGGTGAGTCAGGAAATATTTTCAAGTCAAACTGCTCTTTCCACTGTGGACTCAATGTCTCCTTACAGGCTTTGGTTTTGTACTTCTCATTCCCCAATCGGAAACGACAGTATGGGTCACTAAGTCCTTTAAAATAAAATGAACACATACATGTACATGTATATATTTAGAATTCTTGATCATTAAATGTACTTTGAAAGTCCAATGAAAGACCAATGTTCTGAAAATTAGATCACCTTATGGGAAATAAACTAACATTTTAAAACTAACAACTGTAACTAACACTTTTTTGTTTTGGTTGTTAGATTTGAAATCAAATTTCAGTTTCACATTACTGCATGAAATTCAGTTTCAAAATGGTTCATTACTGTAGCTTGTCAAAACCAGCTTCAGTCCTGTTCATTGTCCTAGCAGTGTGTGCCTTTATCACACTTATACATGTAACTGGTATTTGGGGGGGGGGNGGGGAGGATACTCTTTGATGTACCAAGGGGTCCATTAATCCAATCCACTTTTATAGTTTAAAGGGAATTGTAAGTCAAATGATTTCAAACTGTCTAGTTTAATGACCTCCAGCTTCCTTTGTTCCAGATATATTAACATAATCCTAAGACAAAAAATAATATATAGATTTAGGCCAGCCTAAAAGCGTAGCTCCTGGGTCGGGTTGTTCAAAGCCCAAATCAGCTAACCCAGAAAAAGGTAGAATTTTGATTTAGGTTTTGTAACTTTGCAGTGAGGTTTTCTGTATATTGTTTGGCCTTCTGTTTTGAGTTTTAATAATCACCCTATACACAAAACAAAACAACAAAAAACATTTGTATAGAAGAAAAAGTTATAATTTGGTTAGCTTTCAATCCTGGGTTAGCGTTAACTGGCTTCCGAGCAATCCTGCCCTGTTTCCAACAAGTTAACCTAATATGAGCCTGCGATCCAATCAATAACCAGCACTTGGTCAGCGGTCAACTTCAAAAAACATGTGACCTCGAGGAGCTGTAAACTTGAGCCTGCGATATGGTCACGTGATACTGGTCAGTGGATACCTTGTTTTGAAAGGTGTCAATTGATCATAGCATGGATGTCCAATATCAAGGAAGTACATGGTAAACCAAGGCTGCATGTCTGTTAACCTATTATTTAGAGTAGGGCCACCATGTTGGGAAACTCTGTTGCCGTCGTTGTCGCCATCGTTGCCGTCATGCGTACGCCCCCACGAGCAATACTGCTAGCCATGATAACCATGAGAAAATCAACTCATGGGTTTCTTTTTCTTTCCTATATGAGTATGGGGTTCCGCTTGGCAGCCCTTTGGGCCGCCGGAGCTCCGCTACAAAACTACCTACCTATGAAATTATTTTGACCTAAAATTGATTTTAAACTGCATCCAAACCACTTGATAAGTCCACAAAAGTGCATATGCATTTCTTTTTCAATTCCCAATTGTTTACAAGGGCTGGTGTGCAACAAACCCACACAGAAGGACAAACAGACCTCTGACACACCCACCTGAATCATCCATGGGAATCATCTTTTTTCCTTCTACAAGTATGATGGAAACAATACCATCCCATAGCTGTCCTTTCCCAGGTTCTTTAGGAGCTTGACCTTTTTTTCCTGCTGCGGCTTTTCTGGAAACCTGTTGGAGAGTAAAATTTGCGACCGTTACAAAACTATACTTGACTGCCATTTTACTCACTACCAGAGTACAGAAAATTACACTAACCAATGGAGGTCAGCCTTCTCTGGAGGGGAGTCATTCATAGATAGTGTCCAAGAAACTGCCTGATCAGCTACCTCGGTAGAATGAATTCTGGTTTGATAATTCTGGTATTCTGGATTTGTAGACCCCTGGTTTATTTGTGAGGTGTGTGGTGTGAATGTGCATTTTGAATGTACAATGGAACCTCAATTTAATGAAGGAAATTGAAAAATATGCTCACAATAACAAGGTTTAGTTACATGTATATTGAAGTTCTTTTCCATATATTTTACTATTACTGGGATGAACCGAGGTCTTTGTTAAAAAGAGGTTCGTTAAATGGACGTTCCACTGTAATCAGGACAGACCTTTACTCTGGAGTCACGTTTCAGTACCACCCTTGAGGATTTGGTTTAGGGTTCCCACGCTCCATTTGTGCTAAACACTGCACAGTGCACATGTACAGATTGTTATTAATACATGTAGTAACATCTGGATTGCTTTTACTGAATTACTAAATAATGCATTTTAATAGTACTACCTCTTGCCTGTCCTCATAGTTCTTGGGCTGGACAGTGAAGACTGCACAGATTTGACCCAACTTTTCCTGTCCGCCATCTGGGTTTTCAAGATCAAGAATCATTTCCGTGGGTCTGCAAAGTCAAAGATAACTTTAAGTAAAACTAACAGAGTCAGGCAACCTGTCCCCCCCCCCTCAAAAAAAATACCATAAAAGATATTTTTACTGGTATTAGTACTAGATGAGCTAGGTACATGTGAGAAGTGGCATGACTCCACAGGACCGCTTGCTAACCACAGGGTTTGGCAACACTTGGAAATAGAACACGCCCCTCTACGTGTACATTTCAATATTTATAAGCAAATGCTTAAGAGTTATGATTCACATGAAGTACATTGTATGTTTGTTCCTTGACTCTCAAAATTTTCCTTTACATGTAGTAGCTCACTGTTCAATCCAGTCCTATTGAGCCAGGTATCAACCCAGTTTTAAGTCATTTTTCCTACATGTACATTGTAAGTAAGTACTTGTACATGTAGGGACTGCTCCTAATAGGCGTTCAAAATAAATCCAAAATTGTACAATGTGAGCTACATGTATAATGGAAATATTGAAGATGTTATTCTTTAATTCATGTTTCAAAGTTTTCACATTTGAGTTGACAGAATTTTATTTAAAAAAAATGAAAATGGATATTAATACTATATACAGTTGCGACCATCTCTCATAAATGACCACCTCTCATCAGCAACCAGTTTTCCAAATATTTAGAAAAACTAGTCGCTGAGGAGAGGTGGTCGCTTATGGGAGGTACCAAACTTTTCCATGTCAAATCAATATTTGGAACCTCTTGTAAGCGCGACCACCCCTAAAAAGCGACCGCAACTACTTTTGGAGCTAACAGTTTGAAATTTTCTTTTGCTTTTAACCTCCCCTAAGTAACCACTTGACAAATAACTGAGCGGAAATTGGACAAAAAGGTGTTGTAACATTATCGCATTGCTGAGTAGCACGAGAGACAGAAATTTCTCAATGGCAAGTACCAGATTTTTTCTCAAAATTGACTTTTCACATGAAATTGACTTTTCACATGAAGTCTCTGTAGTTACCATATGCTAATGTGGGACACTTTTGACCCAATATGACCTAATTAAGTTCTTGTAAGCAACCACCTCCCATAAGCAACCACCTAGGCTTGACATTTTGGATGGCACTTATGACAGGTTCGATTGTGTTCAAATTAATTACTCATTTCACTCATTTGAATTTCCCCATCTTGGTGGAAATGCAACATTCCAAAAACAATTATTCAAGAAGTTTGAAGCTTACTTGTCAATTTCAATTGCCGCTAGGTCAACAACAGCTCGTCCCATTGGATCGTCATTTCCAACTCGATCAAAGTCAAGAACTTTCAAGATGAGTGGAACAGTAATGTCTTCAATAGGTACACAGAACTTCTCATTCCACTGCGGGTTCAAATTCTTTTGCACAGTTTTACTTTTGTATATCTGCTTTCCATCAGATTTAAATTTTACATATGGATCACTGGTGCCTGAAATAATTAATACAATGTTAAAATCATTAGTAGTAATTCACTTGAATGTACAGAAATACATTTTCCAAGAGGGGAAGTCAAAGTATGCCTTTCAAAATCAGATGACTCCTCACAAAGATGCAGGTACAGTGTACTAATCACAACAATAACAGGAAATTATCATAGGCAACAGCCCAAAAGATTTCAATAAAGAGGTTTTTTTAATTTTTATTTGTATCACTATACTGGTATGTACATGTATGCACAAGTAAAGGCATACTTCTCGTATTGTTTATATTTATAATTAGTTTAATTTTTTTTTAAGCTTCTAATGGACAATGTCACATTCAATTCATTTAGCATTTAGAAATTAACTTCAGAATGACTTTTAATTAGTTTATCATGGTCAATTAAAGTTTAGGCTTCACTGGTTATATTATCAGTAGATTTTATAATGTATTTACTTTTAGTTTTTAGTTTTTATGTTTTCTCTGTTGTTTACTTTCTAACTAGATCATTATTTTTGTTTAAAATTTCTTTAAATCCTCATAGCCACAAACAGAGAAGGAAATACAATAATATTTCTCCCATTACTTTGCTTTTCCTCATGGCCAGAGAACCTTTCTTTTTATTTTCAGAGCTTTTGATTTTCCAAAATTCAAGCAGTGAACATTCTGGGACACATTCATCATTGTCACTTTCACTCATTCTCTTGGAAGCAATTCTTTGAGGTGGCATTGTGGTCATGTAAGTCACAGATTGAAGTGTTTTGCCCTGAGTGAGTGTTTGGTGGCTTTGAGAATTAAACTAAAATTGTAATTATCCTTTATACACTATTTATTACAGATTTAAGTTATTTCATTTAATAAGAGCGTTTCAAGATCTTTTTAAGTTTAGTTTGTTTAGCTGTTAAATCAAACCTGGTGCCCTGGTGATAGGTTTAGTAACTGGCTTTTCATGAAGGAATTCCACGCTAAAAGAATCTAGCAAAATGATCACAAATAAACAGTTAAAAACTCTTACAATTAAGTTTCACTTTTAATGCACTGTATACCTAAGAGGTTAAATTCAATGACAGTCAATTCTTTTACTTCATCAGCTTGGTTTACAGGAAGTGAAGTTACTATATATGTGAATTTACTTTCTATCCCATACAGAATTTTAATCTTATGACATGTATGTGTACAAATCATCTTGTGTAAAGTGTATACCAGCCAGTAAACTTCATGTGCGGGTCTAAAATTCAAACTTCAGAGCTACAAATAACAGTAAGTTCTCTGCAAAATCCATCTGTAGTGTAACATAATGACCAGGTACTGTTTTTATCCATGGCCCTTTTTACCCTGTGCACTACAAAAGTATGATTTTTGACTTGTTTAACCAAAGTGGTGAGTTACCGGATTTTTACTTGCAGCCATGAGCTTAAGTTTAACTCTTACAGTATACGGTACTTATGTTTAATAAAGATTCCCCAGTAACTGAGGACCTTACCACAACAGAAATCTCCTGTCAAAGAGAACTCAACTTCCAAGAAAGGTTAGTGTAAGGAAATTTAAAAAGGTATTTATAAAATAGTTTATGTTAAATGTGATATTCATTTAGCTACGTTAAAAATTAAAGTTAGATAATAAAAAGAGAGCCTTGAACTTATAGTATCTGAAAAATTCCAGTGAAGAACAATCTGTTTCAGTTATGCAATAAATTTGCAAATCAATTTGCAAATATATTCAATTATTTGTCCAGTGTGGCAAGAATCAACTGGTTTATTGTTTCTGCTACAGGAAACTAAATTGATGTTATTCCAATAACCAGAGGCTGTCTTCACAACTGTTACTTTTGTAATATATGGAAAAGTTGAACCTTAAAATAACTTGTTCCAACTGGTTTTGAAACAGACCAGTCACACGCTGATATTTCACTTGAAGGCTTGTTAACATTGTGAAAAAATAATAGTTCTTAATGCACAGTTTTAATATACATAACATGCTCCTCTGAAAAATGTTTTGCATAAAAATTGGAGAATTTTTGAAGACAAACCAACCACCTGCAGACACCCATGCAAGGGGAAACTTGAGGATTTTGAAAGCAATGTGTCAATTACTGGCCAATAGAATATTAGAATATTGTTATTAGCCGCCTGTTGCTGGGTTTAAGTGTTTATAATATGGAAGTTGTCAAAATTACTTGTGTTGAGCTGTTACACAGCACATATCTATAATTAATCAGTTGATAAATAATTGATTGTCAAACAGGGTGTTAACCTAGAGAAATGAACGACAGCATGAACTTCCTGATATTTCTGTAATTCCCAAAAACAAGTTCTTAGCAACCTAAAATGGTTAATGGATAGCTCTCAGTGAAAGAAGCTAATTTGTTTGCTATCACCAGGTAATGCTGTCAGCTCTAAGCACTTGTTCATTACATGGCCATCAATAATTATTCTAAAATTCCACTCCCCACCATTAAAACCCAAAAAGCACAATAAATGTAAAGCCTGTAAGCAAAGGCGTTTATTCTGGCCTGGCCATTCAAACAATAGGCAACTTCAAAAGCAGAACGATCATTCCCCAACTGTTATTATAGCTACTCTCATGCAAATTACTGTCAGTAAACATGTAACTTAAAATTCATATTTAGTTCATAGACCAAACTATCTATTGGCACGTTCTGTTTAACACTTTAATTACAGTGTGTAACATTTTTAGATCTCTTAGCTCAGTCTTTCAGTTTAAATGGGCTTAACTTTACCCTAATTTAAAACATTCCGTAAGTCAGTTGTTTATAAACATTATTCTGTTTAGTGAATATTATTGTCAGGTTTAAAGGTTTCATTTTCTAGATTTAAAAACTCTACCTTCTTCCGGGCGAAAAAGTTAGTCTATCTTTATGTTTAAAAACCATTAGCAGATTTTCGAAACAAAACAGAGCTGATGGAACGTTCTTATGGTTCAATATAAGGAATGTATGTTCTTCTGGCACGCGTGCATGCAATGGATGTTATAATAATACTGGTACCTGTTTTGTCCCGGGCTGCCAAATCTTTCCCATCCTTCAACTCTACCTCAAGAGCAAAGAATGAGCATTTCCCCGCTCTGGCTACATCACCAGCCTACGAAAAATCGAGCCATATTCGCCATTATTATTTTGTTCACGTTAATTAAAGGGGAAACCCTTGAAAATTGAACGGGGAAATAAACACAAGCTCAAATGAAATAAAAACAACAATCAAATTCCGCGAACGCATTACCAACGCGAGTCATTAAAACGGCATTTTCACGTTCGGGCTAATTTACTCTCCATTTAGCTATTTCTACGATTTAAAGGACTAAAGACAACATACCAGTGCGCCGGGAGAAACATCCTGTGCGGGACATTCCGTTAAACCTCCAGCCTCAGTAGGTGAAGGCAGGGGTGCAGTATGGCAAGCCGTTTGTAGCAAAATTAAATCCTTGCAATATATGTTTAATCCTTTAAATAACAGTTTTATTTGAAGATAGAAAAGGGCATTCAATCCAATGGTAAATAAAATTTTTGGTTCAATTCAATCTTTTAATTTTCACGATTCAATCCAATACCTGAAATATTGATTCAATCCAATACCTAAAATATTGATTCAATCCAATACCTGGAATATTGATTCAATCCAATACCT